CTCCAACTCCTGGGCTCAAGGGAGTCTCCTGCCTCTGCCTCCCAAGTAGCTAGGACCACAGGCACCTGCCACTACGCCCAGCTATTTTTTGGTTGTAGCCATCATTGTTGTTCGACGGGCCCAGGCTGGATTCGAGCCCGCCACCTTAGGTGTATGTGGCTGGCACCTTAGCCACTTGAGCCACAGGTGCCAAGCCAGAAACATATTTTCAATCTAGGCCAATTTGAATTAGTCTATAAACACCTACCCTAACTTACAATGTAATTATGTTCTGTATATATAGAAGAACAGTTGACTTAAAGTTTTGTTAATGCTGATGTCTTTTTACAACTTGAATTTAGCTCTTGATCTACTAATGAATTAGTAAAATCTGAATTAATACAAAATAAATGTGCTTCCACAAATCAGCTACTTTTATTCCTTGAACAATATCAGTTTTTAATAACTGAATATACGCATTATTCAGTAAAATTGAGAAAATTTTACAACAGGTTGTCATCTATAGTAAGTAATCTATACTGAGGAAAATCATAGCAGAAAGATTTAATAGCTCTTGCTTTTTTGGTGATTAAAACAACTAGTTTTGCTATATGGACTTCCTAAAAAATGTTTACACAGAATTCATAATTTCAGAAAAATTTTCATACTATATTTCATATGTAGCAATTAATAGGCATTTTAGTTGAATGGGACAGGTAGAACTACACATAATTATTTTATAAGGAAGAAACATGGGCTTAGAGAAATGAACTTATCCAACACTTTCAGTGTTTCCTGGCCCTTATGTGGAACCTGGCCTGAGGCTCCTAAAGTGTCTCCTCTGGGGTTTCTAAGTGCAAGAATTCACAGATCTCAAGGTAGTAACCCAGTGACTCTTTCTTCTTTCATAGTAAGATCCCACCTAACGAATATTCAAGAAGAAGCCCTCATAAGCAGGCTTGGTTAGTTGCACCAAGCTAGGAAATAATATACCCAACCCTTGAACCCTGGTCTTCTGCTGCCAAAATACCCAGTGATTTCCAACTGGTGTGCCACAAAAATTTTTAAAAAATCATTAATTAAATTGTTTTTGAAAGAATTTCAAAGTACAGTAAGTATACTCTTTTTTTTTTTTTAACCCTTTTTTGATCAACATAATTTAAGTGTGCCATGGAAGTTTAACTATAGGTTCAAAAATGCCATGAGATAAAAAAGGTTGAAAACCACTGCTCTAACCTTTGGGTCATGGCCACTAAAAAGTACTGTAGAATGTAGTACATATAGACTATTATTACCCAACTAAAGTATTTTACAAATATCAATCAAATGGAAGTATAA